AACTTCCAATTTGGGGCCCCTCTTGTTTCTGGCCCCCCCGGAACATCCTGCCTTGCCCCACCTTGTCTATTCCACGCAGTGTGTTTGGGTATGTGTGTGTGTGGGGTGTGTGTGTGTGTGGTGTGTGTTGTGTGTGTGGTGTGTGTGTGTGTGTGGGGGTGTGTGTGTGTGTGTGGTGTGTGTGTTTGTGTTGTGTGTGTTTTGGGGTGGTTTTGGAGTGTTGTGTTGTGTGTGTTTTGGGTTGTGGTGTGTGTTGGGTGTTGGGGTGTGTGTGTGTGTGTGTGTGTGTGTGGTTGTGTGTGTGCTCGAATAGCAAATTTTGGGCTATCTTGGCTAAATTTGCAACGCTCATTTTGCCATAAAAGACAACGAAAATTTTTTTTACAATAACTTGGGGGGGGCCAAAATCATTCTAAATCTAACGAAAAAAAATATATTTCATTGCGTTTATTTTTATTAAATTATTAAAAACGTATATAAAATAACTTAGTTGGTTGGCAAAATAAATTGTTCTTTTAAAAAAGGGTTTGGGATTTTTTATAAGATTCGTTTTGGTGCAAAGCAAATTTTTTCTTTAACAAATGAAAAAATATTTTTTAAAACGTATAAGAAAAAAAATTTAGAAAGGACTTAATTTTAAATGAGTTCTTGCTTTTTGACCATTTAACATATTTCGGCACACTATATAAAATAAATATTATAATATAAAATAATATATATAATAATATATAATATATATATATATTAATATTATAAAAATATATAAATAATAATTATGTGTGTTTGTATAATTATAATATATATATAATAATATATATAAAAATATATATAATTATATATATAAATTTTATAATTATATAAATATATATATATATAATTATATAATAAATATTATAAAAAATTATATATAATATAATTTGAATATTCATGATGAAAAAAAAACATTTAAATTGAAAATTTTTTTTTTTTTTTTTTTTTTTTTTTTTGAAAATACCGGCAATGCATGACAGAAAATTGATTTAATGAAAGACATGACTATGCTTTTTTTTTTTGTAACCACTGCTACATGCTTTGGCATAAATTACCAATGTTGATCAATTTTCCCGAAGTTTTCATCTAGGGAAAACCCCGTAATAACAACTGAAATTTTTCTTCTCCAAGCTGAAAAGTCCGTTTTAAATCCTGAGTTTTTGGTTTTTCCCCCATAGATTCTAACCCGGGGTTTAGGTCGGGAGAATTTCCAGGCCAATTTAGAACGTTTAAACTCACTCTCTTGAAGAATAATTTCATTTTCTGGAAGTGTGGGAAAGCGCAAGATACGCTGGAAAAGCCCTTCTCTTCAAAAAAGTCTCTGTCCAAAGTGGGAAGCAAATGATTTGCCAGTTGACTTTTAATTTTTGACTGTTCTCGTTCCCTTTAAAAATAAGAACTTTCCAGAGACTTTAGCAGTGTAACTCCCCCCAAAAAACTTTTTAGAGGGTTTTTTTTTTGGGGTTTTTTTTTTTAATGTGTCCAATCAAAGAGGTTCCCCCCTTTTCTCCGTCTCACTACCACGCCGTACCCATGTACTTCAAAAACTGCTCGTCTGAAAAATAAATTTTTTTCTCCATTCATCTGTCGTCCCTCCCCTTTTATCGAGTGCCCCCCGCAGCCGTTTTTTTCTTCATAGCACAGCCAAAATTGTTTTTTCACCGGCTTTTTTGGCAGTTTTTTTGTCAACTTCAAAAGCCGTCGCCAGACAGTTTTTAAGAATTTTAACAATAAATCAGCTGAAGCCAAATCTCTCTTACATCTTTCCCCCCAAGGAATTTTCCTTGATGTTGGTGAGGGGCTCTTTATTTAGGAATTGGGTCTGTGCTCCAGTTCCCCGAATTAACCGAAAGCCTTTCCCCATCCCCCCCCCAGCGCTGATAATCCTCCGGGTTTAGCGCTTCCCCTTGATTAAATAATAATCGTACACTTTGCTGGTTTTTCTTGGGGTCCTTCGCACTATTTCTCATTTAAAAACCCTTTTCACCGGGGGGGGGGGGGGGTCTGCCTAGCGTTTTCTTAAACATCTTCCTCGACGCAGCCCTCCAAATAACCAGTTCGTCAGTTCTCTTCAAAACTGACCATAGTTGACTTTGCTAGGCCAAATTTTTTTTGGGGATCTGGGCTGACACCAAATCACCATGTTTTTTAAGACACAATACTTGCACGCTCTTTAGGTGTGACATTCATAATTTTTTTTGTATTAATCATGAAATGAAGGGGAGAATTTGGCGAAAACTCTTTCACTCACGAAGCACCCCTGCAGGAATAGCCTTACGAAAAACAGCTGATGAGCACTGTAAATCACAGGACCACCACAGCTGAATTGTTGCCAGAAGTCGGTAACAAACCTCTTTGAAAAGAAAAGAACCCATACTACATTAATTAAGCCGGAGACTAAGATATATTTATAATATTCAAAAAAAATTTACTCCGGGGCCCCCAATTAACCGCACCTACTTTTATATATATATATATAAATATATTATAAAATAAATTATTAATATATTATTTATATATAAATATAATATAATAATATAATAAAAATATAAAATATAAATAATATTAAATATATATATATATATATTAAATATATAATAATATATTATTTCCACCTAACATGTGTGTATACAGGAAGTAAATATTTTCAGTCCGTGCTTGGGAAAAAAATGTTTGCCAAGTGAGTGATGGGGAAGGGAAGGGGCAAATGATGGGGTAGGAGGAGCAAGTTTGGGGGGAGGTAGGAGCAAGTGATGGGTAGGGAGGCGATGGAGTGATGGTAAACTTAAGAGGGCAAAGTTCCAAATAGGAGTGGTCTCACTTTGAACTTTGGGTCAAGACTCCATAAAAAACTGCCACCCACACTAACATAAAACCCTTAATTGTCACCCCTGGCCTTAAGTCTACGCTCCTGGGGCGTCCGGTACAGTGTCCATTTTGGGGGCACAGAGTTTTGGGGGCGGATTTGTCCTTTGGGACACCCCCCTGACACAACCATTACCTAAGCCCGGAAAACCGAACCCTAATTTTGCATTGTGTGGTGAAGACCGATCCCCCGAAGAGGCTTACTTCTGCTAAACATTTAAATAGAGGGGGCTTATCCCCTTTCCACCTTTGAGAACGCCTATTCTAGGAAGAACAGTTTCTCTAATATTCCTCTTTGGGATCTACACTTGTTTTTGTAAACAAAATCTGTCCCCCAGATTTTAACACCTTTTTATTCGGTAAATTTAAAAATACGTTCCACCCTTTAAACACTGTTTCTCAAATTTTGACTTAAATAAAAATTTCTTTACTGAAGAAGACAGGTAATC